CACTATGTAAATCTTTTTTAAAAAATAGTATATTTTGGAGGCCAACTATACTACAAATTATAAAACACAGTAATACGTTATCAACCTATTGAAATGGCAAATAATATATGCGAATTTTATGTTTTGTGAATGAACTTTGACCTAACTTTGATACTAATGCTGGTAAGCTATATCAGTTATGTATAATACGTTATTCCGTATCCTATTGTGGTCGTATTTTCAGCGTTCAATTTAATTTGAATCAATTAGTTCTGTATCAAAATTTGAAGCGGTATATATTTATTTTTTGACAAAAGCGAAAGTGTTCGGAAGATATTTAATTTAAGTTCAATTAATTCCTACTCAAGTAAAACACACGTGTTAAAAGAAATAGTGCCAATAAAACACGTTTAATCTTACAATGAAAATTATTATTAATAGTGATTATGTACTACTTATGAAACATAACGTGATCACAGAAATATAATTATGTCTAGAATTACAAACCATCTTAAGGAAAGTCAATTTAACTGGGTTATTTTTGTTTATTATTTATTTATTTTTTTTTTTTTTTTTAAATCACAGTAGATAATTTTTCGTTGTATGTTTTCTGCAAAGTCATTAGAATTTTAGTCAAACTTATTGGTCGCAACAGCACACTTATTAGCTTGTATTCCTGTGGCAGTTGTGCTTGTTAAGGTGTAACCTATACGTTAGGAAGACAGAAATAATATTGGATAGGTAGTGCCAGGACAAGGACCCAAAGGGCTAAATAAAATACACAAGGATTTACGCTGGTATCAGTTTAATAATAACAGTAACCAGCTCTAAAATGGCACGAAGTCTCAAGCAAAAATACAAATTAAGAACAAGAGTGTATATGTATCAATAGAGCTCTGCATCTGCGCACCAGCCCTCCGATGAATAGTGATAAATATTTGCATAATTTTTTTTTTAGTTTTTAAGTGTTGTAAACAACAACGCTCATGGTACTGTTAAATTTACTTATGAAACATTAATTAAAGCATTAGACTGTAGAAAGTTCCTACTTGTTAGATACTTATAATAAAAAAATCTTATTTTAAAAAAAAGTGTTCATAGTAAAATACACAGGGTGACTAAAGATGATTTCTATACCTTCTCTCAGAATAATGACCGACTCCAAGACTGCTAAGTTGGCATGCAGGGCCAAAAACAGATAGTAGTGACCACTACAAACTTGACATTATACAACACATACAAATACATACTACATTATTAAAATTGTAAGTATTTTAACTTTAAAAGTTAATTTATAAACTCTATGTATAAGTATACATTTTTGTGGCTACCTATGAATACATGGGTCAGCGTAAAGTTTCGCGAATCCTTAGTTGACGGGTTCCCGACAGTAGGCAGCCAAACATTCGGTAGCCAAAGTAGGCCCGAAGACTGCCCGAACGCAGTGTGCCGAAAGAAGTAGTATACTATCTATAGATGAAAACACACTATAGCTAGACCGATAGAAAATCCTCTAAATATCAAAATTGATTTCCAAAGTGATATTTTAGATATTATACGTAATCAAACTTGTAGATTATGGACAAAAGAGTCAAACTCGTCAAAACTCTGTTTAACACCCTTAAAATAGTGTTTAAAGTTTATTCCGCATATATCTCGTAAACTGTACAAAATAGGATAAAAATAAAAATACTAGCCTGTAGAGTGAAAAATTTCCTATCGATTCGGTCTTTTACTTTTGTTTGGACCAGCACAAAATTTTGAGATAAAAATTAATAATGGTATTTTTGCCCGATACCAAGAGAGTGAGGGAGACAGAGAGCGCGTGGACAAACAGTGCACGATCGTCGTCTATGTATATGTGTATGGATTTACATGACGATATATATGCATCTACTTAGTGGCAAACGACGTTGGGCAGATTTAGGGCCACCTTCGACTGCCGAATGTTTGGCTGCCTATTGTCGGGCAACATGTCGAATTTGCGCATGCCCCTCCTTCGGGCCGACAGCAATATTATTCGGTACCTAGCAGTCGGGCTGAATGATTCTGTACGGTTGCCAACCAACTGTTTCTGATTGAAAGTTAATACGACAATATGCACACATAATACTATATACTGACTTTACATTGTATATATGTAGCAGAATCTGAAGGTGAACGGCAGAACTCATATTGGATTAATTACTTTTTTTTTTTAAATTGATTCCTCTGGTACTTAATGTGCTATTGTCATTATTGATCTATCGTCACATCGAAGCATTCTGCATGAGTATAAATCGTATTTTACCAATATACATATATGGCTATATTCACAGTGTTAACAATAACGCTGAAGGAAATGAAGAAAAAAAAAAAAAAAACTATATGAGTAATTCAGAGTAAGACCTGTTTGTAAGGAATTGAAAAAAAATTTTTTGGTCGACATAACTAATCTGTCATTTTAAGTCCTTCATTTTTTATCATTTGTGTTTAAAATAAGACAATTTAAAACAGTTATCTCAAAAATCTCCATCTTATTGAACAGGGAAAAAATTTCATTTTTTTTTTCACTCGATTGAAACCCACGTTTTGCGCCTGCCATTTTGGTTTTTAAAAACCTGATAATTAACTTGTATTTACCCACCTCAAATGCCTCTCATTAACAAATGTAGAGGAAAATTTTACTTCAATACACTTCATACCTTATTTGTCATTTAAAGAACTTAAACCCCTCCTTAAGCAGCATGATGACCACCCAAAAATTTTTTTGTCGAAATAATTTTTAAGACAAAACTTTGGGTGGAATTTGAAGGTGAAGTAGGCCTCGATTATGGTGATTTTTACCTTAAAAATCAAATATTAATTTAAAAAAACCTTATTTTGATTATTTTTACAAAACACATTTTTAAAAGTTCTATCAGAAAATTTCTTTAAAGAGTGATGATTTAAACAAATGAACGTTTTTTTTTTATAAAGTGCTTCAATGTCTATAAAAACGGATTCTTATCAAGTAGGGATCACAAAAATTATTTATCTAGGATTTCTCAGTATATTCTATAAATAACGAAAGTATAATAATGTAAAGTCTATACAGTGTTACAAAAGCTTCATTTAGCTTAAATATATAGATAAACATTGCATAGTTAATTTTCATTAGCTGGAGCCTTTCCTTTTTGGCGCCCTTTGATCTGGGCCTGCTCACTGACCGTTCCTATACGTTATTGCGAAAATTACAAACTAAAGAAAAAAGTTTTTATTGAAACTTTAAGTTTCATATTTTTGATGATATTAAATGTTACGTGTACCCGTAAATAAAATTTTATTTGTGAATTTCACCATTCACACTAAAATTTGAGCAATTAATTAGCTCAAAGTTTTCCAAAAATCCTCTAGCTTTCCTTTAACTTCAGTAGAATCTGCTAGGTGGCGTAGAAGAGAAATCAAAGCTATCTAAAATAGAATTAAGAAAGTCTGGTTATAATATTCCCGAGCAAATTACCGAATACCACAGTCGTTCACCGACAGTGCTTGAAGCATCGAGCTGTGAGTCGTGCAGCTGGGTATCCCTACTATTGGTGACACTCTCTACCTATAGACAAACGACTTACGTCAAACTGATTTTGCTACAATAGCAACCCGGGGAACCCTGAGAAGTTCATGCAGCCACAACGACCTCCTTCTCAGTGGTTTGTCTTAACGGCATACCGACAGAGAAGGTATTTTTCAAGCCCATTTCCCTAATCAACTAGAACAATTGGTTATTAGAGGAACGACCCGAAGACGAGATATTCTTTGGTCAGCGTCGCAAAATACCTTCCTCCAGCACGGTCTCCGTATGTGGAGACTCCGAGGGTAAGAGTCAAGCTACCTGTATCCGGCTCTATCATCAAGAATAATAATAAGGAATAGCTGGAAGTATCACCACTGGAACTTTTTAGGGTCATCATAAATATTTACATTCTCATATTAACCATCAATCTCATCGGTTCTTAATTAAGTTATCTTAATATTTCTGTTTTAAATAATGATTGTTGGTATGTACTATGTAGAGGTCATAATTAATTTATTTTCAAACACACGTTTTCATTGCAAATTTGATGAGTTTCTTGTAAAATTGCTTGAAGAAAAAGTGTTTTGTAGTTTAATATAATAAAAACCATTACCAAAAATTTCAGTAAGTCTAGCTTGATAGTTTTACTCATTTATTAAGTCTAAGTTACCAAATAATACTATTTGTGCATATAAAACAAATGATTAACGTTTACTGTATTACGATAACCCTTTTTCAGACTGTTTGTTGATTACGGTGTGATGTAATATTTAATTTGAATAATTAACTTGAAAATATTAACGGATTAAGAGGTGAAATATTAATTTTTCTGTTCATGGCGCAACTACCTTTGTTGAATATAATAAGTCTGTCATTAAACTTAAAAAATTACTCATAATATCTAATATAATCATTGTTTTCTACTGGTATTACCACAGAAGTATAATGAATAAAGTGTATTGCTTTTGGAAATTTTTCTGTTAGCTTAAAAATGCAGTTTTTAAATAAAAGTATTGAATTAACGTAGGAAAAGGCTGTGGAATCATGTATTTAACAAAATCTTGTTGACCATTTGCTAATATTTTTTTCGAAAACTATGTTAATGAAGTTTATTTAATGGTGCACTTCTTAGTACTCCTTCTCAAATTTTGTTGCCTTTTGTACACAAATCAATATGATATGTACAAAACGAAACTAAAACTCTTATGTTTCTTTAGTAGTTAAAAACTGTTTGATGATATATTTTCAATTAATTTTACAGTAAATGTTTTATATATTACTGCCCTTGCTCTTTATTGTAAAGATGACATTGATCACACATGCAAATTTTATCATTAGTGTACAATATATATTCAGATGTAAATTCTTTTTTTTATCTTTATTCAGTAGCTTATGCAAATTTATTGTTTTCGTACTAAAGAAATGGCTTAGATATTTCTTAAAAACTTGTATGTATAGATATTTACTTAAATGTATTTCATGTTTTCAGACACCCGAACAACTCAATGGGAAGATCCACGAATGTCAAATCCACAAATAGCAGGACCGGTAAATAATAATCTTATTTATTCATTTATTAAAACTATTTGTACAATTAGTTTAAAAGACAATTATTTATCTCTTTTGTACGTATAACAAAAATCATTTGAGGACTAATAAAAAATATCGTAACTATTATGTTGTACTAACATTACCATAGTTTTTAAAGTATAAATGACTAACTTTGTTTGAAATAATTGTATCTACTACTGAGGATCGACGTATACATACGTAATTTTAATGTGTTATAATTTATTCATGAATTACTCAGTATCATTTTATTTAAATACTTTACTATCTTTAAATATGCTCGTTCTAATTTAAAATCAAATGGTTAACATAGCTTTTGCAAACTGCGTTTTTTTTTTTTTCTTATGCTTGGTATGTATTGTAAATAACTAAATATGATACTAATTATTAATCATAAACATTTTGTTAAGCACTTAAAACTTATCACTATTTCTAAAACAGTTTGAGCTAAGTATAATGTTAATTTTTTTCAGGCAGTTCCATACTCTAGAGATTACAAACGTAAATATGAATATTTAAAGTCGCAGTTGCGGAAACCAGTAAGTACATGCTTTTGTTTTGTATTTCACTGAAAACTTATTAGTTTTTAGACTTGTTTTGCTTATAATTTACTTATTTTACAAGTTATTAATACCCTAGTCATTAACTAGTGATGTATTGTTTCTTTAACTTATAAAAATTGATCTTAAATTTTTACATCTTTTTCTAGAATAATGTTCCAAACAAATTTGAAATCAAAGTTGGACGCAACAATATTTTAGAAGATTCTTATCGTATAATAAGCTCTGTAAATAGAGTTGATATTCTTAAGACAAAACTTTGGGTGGAATTTGAAGGTGAAGTAGGCCTCGATTATGGTGGCCTTGCACGTGAATGGTTTTTCCTGTTGTCTAAGGAAATGTTTAACCCGTACTACGGTTTATTCGAATATTCTGCCATGTAAGTAAATGCAAATATTAGGTTTGAGAACTCACTATAATTTATGAGTTAATGTGTATTCGTTTTTTACTTGATGAATAGGGATAATTATACCTTGCAAATTAATCCATTTTCGGGCGTGTGCAATGAAGAACATTTGAACTATTTTAAATTTATTGGGCGCATAGCAGGCATGGCTGTGTACCATGGCAAACTTTTAGATGGTAAGTACCTCCTTATTCTAATGATCACTATGTAAATCTTTTTTAAAAAATAGTATATTTTGGAGGCCAACTATACTACAAATTATAAAACACAGTAATACGTTATCAACCTATTGAAATGGCAAATAATATATGCGAATTTTATGTTTTGTGAATGAACTTTGACCTAACTTTGATACTAATGCTGGTAAGCTATATCAGTTATGTATAATACGTTATTCCGTATCCTATTGTGGTCGTATTTTCAGCGTTCAATTTAATTTGAATCAATTAGTTCTGTATCAAAATTTGAAGCGGTATATATTTATTTTTTGACAAAAGCGAAAGTGTTCGGAAGATATTTAATTTAAGTTCAATTAATTCCTACTCAAGTAAAACACACGTGTTAAAAGAAATAGTGCCAATAAAACACGTTTAATCTTACAATGAAAATTATTATTAATAGTGATTATGTACTACTTATGAAACATAACGTGATCACAGAAATATAATTATGTCTAGAATTACAAACCATCTTAAGGAAAGTCAATTTAACTGGGTTATTTTTGTTTATTATTTATTTATTTTTTTTTTTTTTTTTAAATCACAGTAGATAATTTTTCGTTGTATGTTTTCTGCAAAGTCATTAGAATTTTAGTCAAACTTATTGGTCGCAACAGCACACTTATTAGCTTGTATTCCTGTGGCAGTTGTGCTTGTTAAGGTGTAACCTATACGTTAGGAAGACAGAAATAATATTGGATAGGTAGTGCCAGGACAAGGACCCAAAGGGCTAAATAAAATACACAAGGATTTACGCTGGTATCAGTTTAATAATAACAGTAACCAGCTCTAAAATGGCACGAAGTCTCAAGCAAAAATACAAATTAAGAACAAGAGTGTATATGTATCAATAGAGCTCTGCATCTGCGCACCAGCCCTCCGATGAATAGTGATAAATATTTGCATAATTTTTTTTTTAGTTTTTAAGTGTTGTAAACAACAACGCTCATGGTACTGTTAAATTTACTTATGAAACATTAATTAAAGCATTAGACTGTAGAAAGTTCCTACTTGTTAGATACTTATAATAAAAAAATCTTATTTTAAAAAAAAGTGTTCATAGTAAAATACACAGGGTGACTAAAGATGATTTCTATACCTTCTCTCAGAATAATGACCGACTCCAAGACTGCTAAGTTGGCATGCAGGGCCAAAAACAGATAGTAGTGACCACTACAAACTTGACATTATACAACACATACAAATACATACTACATTATTAAAATTGTAAGTATTTTAACTTTAAAAGTTAATTTATAAACTCTATGTATAAGTATACATTTTTGTGGCTACCTATGAATACATGGGTCAGCGTAAAGTTTCGCGAATCCTTAGTTGACGGGTTCCCGACAGTAGGCAGCCAAACATTCGGTAGCCAAAGTAGGCCCGAAGACTGCCCGAACGCAGTGTGCCGAAAGAAGTAGTATACTATCTATAGATGAAAACACACTATAGCTAGACCGATAGAAAATCCTCTAAATATCAAAATTGATTTCCAAAGTGATATTTTAGATATTATACGTAATCAAACTTGTAGATTATGGACAAAAGAGTCAAACTCGTCAAAACTCTGTTTAACACCCTTAAAATAGTGTTTAAAGTTTATTCCGCATATATCTCGTAAACTGTACAAAATAGGATAAAAATAAAAATACTAGCCTGTAGAGTGAAAAATTTCCTATCGATTCGGTCTTTTACTTTTGTTTGGACCAGCACAAAATTTTGAGATAAAAATTAATAATGGTATTTTTGCCCGATACCAAGAGAGTGAGGGAGACAGAGAGCGCGTGGACAAACAGTGCACGATCGTCGTCTATGTATATGTGTATGGATTTACATGACGATATATATGCATCTACTTAGTGGCAAACGACGTTGGGCAGATTTAGGGCCACCTTCGACTGCCGAATGTTTGGCTGCCTATTGTCGGGCAACATGTCGAATTTGCGCATGCCCCTCCTTCGGGCCGACAGCAATATTATTCGGTACCTAGCAGTCGGGCTGAATGATTCTGTACGGTTGCCAACCAACTGTTTCTGATTGAAAGTTAATACGACAATATGCACACATAATACTATATACTGACTTTACATTGTATATATGTAGCAGAATCTGAAGGTGAACGGCAGAACTCATATTGGATTAATTACTTTTTTTTTTTAAATTGATTCCTCTGGTACTTAATGTGCTATTGTCATTATTGATCTATCGTCACATCGAAGCATTCTGCATGAGTATAAATCGTATTTTACCAATATACATATATGGCTATATTCACAGTGTTAACAATAACGCTGAAGGAAATGAAGAAAAAAAAAAAAAAAACTATATGAGTAATTCAGAGTAAGACCTGTTTGTAAGGAATTGAAAAAAAATTTTTTGGTCGACATAACTAATCTGTCATTTTAAGTCCTTCATTTTTTATCATTTGTGTTTAAAATAAGACAATTTAAAACAGTTATCTCAAAAATCTCCATCTTATTGAACAGGGAAAAAATTTCATTTTTTTTTTCACTCGATTGAAACCCACGTTTTGCGCCTGCCATTTTGGTTTTTAAAAACCTGATAATTAACTTGTATTTACCCACCTCAAATGCCTCTCATTAACAAATGTAGAGGAAAATTTTACTTCAATACACTTCATACCTTATTTGTCATTTAAAGAACTTAAACCCCTCCTTAAGCAGCATGATGACCACCCAAAAATTTTTTTGTCGAAATAATTTTTAAATATTTGTGTGCTCCGTTATTTTCATTTTTATTTATTTTAAATTTTACAATTGACCCACGCTTTTTATAAATTTTCATAATATTAACTCAAAGGCTGTTTGTCACTCTTTAGACCATTTCTCCATATTTCAGAGCATTTTTTCTATGTGGTTTTACCTACAAGCTCCAAAAATACTCATTTAGATTGGTCCTGTATAGCTATTTGAGTTTTATTTTGACAAAAAATGCCTTTGATCACACTGTTAACCTCTCCATGAGAAACTATTGTACTACATGTAGCTATGTATGTCATTGCCTTGATTCTAGCATCTGATTCACGCAGTACCAAATCTGCTCCATGATAACATGGTTTTATTATGTTCCTACACTCAATGGCGCTTATAACCATATGCCATACGCAGTGCCACCTTTAATTTTAATTTCATACGAACTTTTATTTATAACAGATGATCTGAACATTTATTGTGCAAAGAGTCCTAGAGAAATGTATATGGCTATTTATGAGACTTCTGACTTTTAATTGATACTGAGAACAGCTTGTATGATTTTTTTAAAACTATTTTTAATTTCTTAGTAGTCCTGGATAAAAACAAGCTGGAAACTATTACTTGTATTAGGTGTCTAAATATTTTACATAAGAACTTAAGGTACTATGGGGATCGGGGAGAGGGATGTAGGGATAGATTTCTTAAATATAAGTTTTTTATAATTTTAATCATTATGTAAGTCCTAAATATCACTATTTCCATTGTGTATTAGTGAACTGTGGGAGTTTTTTAATATTTTTAACCTTAAACTCTTTGCTAATAAAATTCAAACTCCTAATACAAGCTCTTAAGGACAGCACTGACTTTATGCTTGTTTTTCGTTGGTAAAAAAAGTTATGGTAAAAAACATTTTTCTTAATTTATACAGTTTTCTGATACTTTAAATAGATATTTCCAAAAGTTTTACTATTTTGAATTAAGTATATCGTAAATCATAATGTAAGTGAGAACGTCGTATCAAAGTTCTTTATAAAATAAATTAGTTATGGATTTGTAAAGTTGGATGAATATACTACTAACTTTTGATGTGAAACTATTGTAATAAACGTCCAAAATATAATTGATTAACAAAATGTCAAGATGAAAGTATAAAAAATAGTTGAACTTAAATTTTTCTCAACATGCGTTTGAAGAGCTTATGCAGGAGCACCTTGATTTAATTCTATGTTTTAACTCAAAAGAATTGTCACGACTAACTTTGATGTGACTCTGCATTATTTTTAATAAAAATTTTATTAAGTCAAAAAATATTAGAATACTTACAAGCTTCATTTAGGAATGACCGTACAATAAATAAAATCTACAGAAATATTTAACCATATGTAATGAAATGGATTTCTTTATTAAAGACTCCTTAACTCAAAGTTTGCTTGAAATTCTTTCAATATAATTTTATGTTTATTATAAGACAGTAATGGTTTGGAAAGTAAGTTATTTTGGGATTTTTAAGAAAAACAATAATCAATATTCTAACTTTTTGAAATTCATGGATTATTCAATGAATAGTAGACACAAAAATCTTTTAAAAATTTTTTGTTACTTTATCATAAAAAAAAAATAGTAAATAAAAAAAAGCTAGAAAAAAGTGCATTTAACCTAAGAACTTTGGGTTTAAAAGCAAAAGATTAACCATGGAGCCAACGACTATTCAACCATAATACGAGATATTTTAGAATCTACTCAGGTGCTCCTGCATAAACTCTTCATATGCATGCTGAGAAGAATTGAGGTACAATTTTTTTTTATACTTTCATTGTCGATATTTTTTAGTGAATTATATTTTGGACGTGTATTACAATAAATTCGCATCAAAACTCAGTAATGTATTGGCAAGTGATAAGAAGTCATTCTGCCGTGCTACTCGGAAGGTAACGGTTATCGGCATATATGGATAAGTTGTCCAGTTGTCCCCTTCGAGTATATATGTTCGAAGGTTGTCCCCCAACACTAAACGCCACCTGCCATACGGAGGCATAATTAAAATATCAAGAGAAAAAGCTGTGGATGTTAAAATGGCCACTCTAGTCTTCTATGCTAGAAGAGTATATTCTATACTCTCTGGTGTAAGGTTGGCGCCAGCTAGTGCCTAGCTATGTAATCCATACACTGATATATCCTCTTACACTGCAGACGTGCAGAAACTAGTATGCAGCTGCAGCACGGAGTATGCGTTTAGTATAC